AATTGCTAGGAGTAGAAAGTTCAGTAACAAAATATTGCTGTTCTTGTATGGAAGACATGATGAGTACATGAAAACTATACATCCGTTCAACATCATCTAGACTGACAGGGCCTTCAAATATGATACATGTTAAACAACTACCCTGTGGCAAGGCCTCAAAAGACCTTATGGTATTTTCTGTTTTTTAAAAATCAGGTACACAGAAAATTGTGTTGGCATTTTGCTACAAGTATATGGCGTAAAAGCTGAATCTCAGATGTGAAGCGGGTACATTTCAGAGAGAGAAGGCTGGAGCAGCCATCACATTTGAAATCACTTGCAGGGAAACTACTATGAGATTTTGGACAGGGGCATGATGGAATTGAATGCTGTATTATGATCCTCAGCAGCAGCCAACGTTTGAATTTTTTTGCTATTTTTTAAAATGGGTTAGCTGATTTTCTTCTCCTAATGATCCTTTGCTCTTCTGCCACAACTTTACGTAGCCACACTACTAGTTGCTATTTCTTAGTGGGGAAGTGGCAGCAGTAGGGTATTAAGTGGCTGCATTGGCACAAGGGCAGAGCTGGGAAGGGTGCTCAGGCCTCTCACTTTCTCATCCCAGTCCATGCAATAGACACGGTGCTGGCTGAGGGCTGCTCATCACTCCCTTTCCTCAAAGGCAGAAGAGAAGACCTCATGTTCTCCATGATAACATGAACAATACACTCCTGTGGATCTTCTCCCACCAGGGACCACCTCTGATAGCTGAAGCATAACTAAGTCCATGGAGAGCACTGGTAGCGCTGTTGCTGCAGTTAATAAGCCAAATTATTCAGCCTAAGAGGAAAATAAAGTACAACTTGTGATAAGTTTTTACAGTTTCTCACAGCACTGTAATATGACCAACTTGTCAAATCAGGTTCTGCAAAGAGAAGACAAGCTATAAGACCTGGTGGGGAAGGGAAGCTTTCCTTTTCAGAAGAAATAATAGAAGGGAAAAAGCCTTTGTCCTGCTCAGTTCTTTTCAGATCCTGCAGTTCCCTGGGCATGAGGAGAGGGAATGTCTTTCGTCATGTAGAACAGCAGATTTAACAGTAGTCTCAGCTGAAAATTTGTATATTCTTCCCACAGTACCCCCCCAGAATGAATTCATGCTGCAATCTCTTTTTGCCACGTTGTTGGCAACAGATGATCCCCAAAATGGAGGAATACCTTTATAAATAATGCCCTCTACTTCCTTCAGGAGGCACTTGTGAAAGGATTCCCCATGACAGGGAGTACGTGCGTGGCTTTAAGTCAGAGGCACTATTCTTGCACTAATTTTTACTTGTGAATTCCTTTTCCCTTTTTCACCTTGCCTGAACAATTTAGAAGATGGGGAATAGAAAGGGGTTGTATTATTTTGTTTGCTGTTTTGTTTTTTTTTTCTCTAGGCATAAATAAATTTACTAAGAAGCTTAGAAATCCCTACGCCATCGACAATAATGAGCTGCTAGATTTCCTCTCCAGGGTACCATCTGATGTTCAAAAGGTAGGTAATGAATGGCCACCGCCAACAGAGGCAACAAGCGGCACTGAGAGCGGCTGGGCGCTCTGCTTGGGGAACACGATGCCAGTGCACTTTTGAATAATGGAGATAAGGAATCGGGGAAAATCCACAAAGGGGTGGGGGGAAGGTGTTAGAAGAGAGGGGAGCCAAAATCCTTTGTCAGAAGGATAAAATGATTGCAGAAAAATTATCCTGAAAAGACCTACTTAAAAATGATCTGGAAAATCACCCAGCGTGGTTAGTGAACTATGGTTTCCGTCACCTTTCTGCTCCGGTATTTGTATGGAGGGAAGAGAAAAATAGTCTTTTTGATAGAGATAACCATCCAAAAGGAATTGCTGAATTCTCCCTTTTCTCAAGATGAAGGGGGGGGTGGGGGCATTATTTCTGTGACTTTGTGCTTGCTGTGGGGTTTTTTTTCACATCAGCTGTTCCTCAAAATTCTTCTTCCCCACCCACCTTGAACTCCAGGCCTCCCTTGGACAATGCTCCGCTCGTCCCTTTCTTCAGAGAAAGCCTTGAGATGTGTATAAAATACTCTGTGGTTGATCAGATCAATCTTCTACCATTATGGAATTATAACTTTTAATCTAACCAGAATCTATCCTCCCTCAATTTCAGTCAAGTCTCATCTCTTTTCATATTTCTTTTAAACAACACTGTCTTCACTAATCTCGCCTATCTTCCTGGAAATTATTTGAACAATAAGTCCGTTAGAATGTCAAGATCTGTTTATTTCTCTTGGAGGAAGGAAAATAGTCTTGGCTGGGTAATGAAGCCACACGTTATAAAGTATTTTTTTCTTTTGTTTTATTAACTGGAATCTGTGTCCTCAGGCCCTGATCCCAATGCCCTGGACCCCACTGACATTGTACCTTCCTCTGTGAATCACGGTACTTTCTCAGTGAGGTGTTGCTCACTGTGAACAAGGGGATCACAATCTCGCCTGCAGTGATTTTACTCTGGTGGAGGCAGAACAGTAATTGCCCGCATGAAGTGTCGAGGCATCTGGTAGAAACAAGGTTGGAATAGGCTTCTGGTGACATCTATTTCAAGAGGCCACCAGATTGGTTGGTGGCAGCACTAATAACTTCAGAGAAATCTTGCCGTGGACTGGTGGGAGGAAAAATGCTAAACAGAAATGATCATAGAGACATGAAGCTTCAGTGTATTTTTATTTTTTGTCATTGCTCTTGTAGAGCACGCTGGATTTGCAGTGATGGTTTGCATATGCCCTTTTAGTGTTTATGTTTAAAGATAAGCTGCTTTTCTATTTATGCTTTATTTAACGTTTACTTTTATAACATTTCCTTGAGTGGTTTCTATCATTTTGGGATCCTTTGAGCTCTCCAAAGAAAGTGATAGCCATCCTCTATGGGAGGAGTGATAAAAGTTCCTAGGATGGGACAAACCTTCTCAGAGTTTTCCACTAGCGCTAAAAACAGCGAGCCTGTGTGACAGCCACACGCTCTAGTGAAAAGTCACCCATGGCAGCTCCAAAGCCCCTCTGTCTGCCTCCTTTTACGTGCTGCCAATGCATCATCATTTCACTGCAGTACTGCAGTGGGGTAGAAATTACCTCTGTCTGCACACTAGCCATCTATAACCCACGCGTGTTGGACAAAAGACAGAGGAGTGAAAAAGATGGCACGTTCTGCAAAAGTTTCCCTGTGATTTCCGTGGGGATACTTTTCTGTTACATGACAGACAATTTGGAGATTACACTATCCTTGTCGGTTTATCACACGTGTTTTAACCATTATATTGTATATGAAATTGTTTTGAAAGGTGGAGGCAGCTTTGTCCAGGTTCTATTTGGGAAAATATTTTCCTTTTTTGAAATGATTAAATATGTCAGCATCCCAAGGTCCGCGTACGGTTTTGACAACTGTCATCTTGCTGCGTATTCGGATCCACTTGAATTGAAACTCCTGAGAGAAGTTTATTAAACTTACAGGTTAACGCCAGAAAGATAAGAAAAACAACTCCCAAACCAAAACAAACCCAAAAGATCTAGCCTACATTGCTGAAATCAGGTAGAACCCCATGTATCTCATTAGAAAAATCTGCTTTTAATATTTTCGTTTCAAGAAATGATGCATGACTTCTCAAATCCTTCCTGCAATTAATCCCCCATGTTCCTGTGTTTAGAAAATGATTCATTACTTTTGAACCTTCCTTAGTTTCCCTTGGTTTGTCCTTAGGGAGCCATTAACACACACTGTAGTGAGCTAGAGTTACCTAACTGCAAACGTCATGTCTATTTGTTTTTACAGGTGCAGCATGCTGAATTGAAACCATACAGCAGCTCCAGTCCCATTAGGAAGAAGCGGAGTACGCTATAGGATGCAGTACGATTTCGGAATGCAGCATCTCCCTCTGTACCCCCTCCCCCCCCCACACACATGCACACATGCTTCTCCTGTCCCCTTCTTCTTGCTTCAGAAAAACACTATAATCCCCTGCCACAGACTCTTTCCTTTTATTTTTTTTGTTTTTTACCCCAAAGACGTGGGTTTTGATAAACACCTATCTTAGGTTTGTCTTTTTTGAGTTGTCTTTTTGGCATGGAGTCGTAGCCCAAAAAAGAGCAAGGTGGAACGCATGAATTAGTTTGCAGGGTGGGGAGGAGAATGGGAGAGGATGGTGCAGCTGCACTTTTTTTTTTTTCCTTTTTTTCCTTTCGATTGCAAAGGCAAGGCTGGATGTGGCAGCACTCCCTGTTTTATGTAGGAAGAGATAATTCCGCTTAGTGTAGCAGATCAGCTGAGCTGATGTGAGGAGATGCTCTGAACCAGTTTTTAACATATCCAACAGATTTACATTAAGATATGAAAACTATTCTTTTCTGAGTTAAATCACTATGCCTAGAAAGGTTTAAGCTCTGAATTAACGAGTCTTTGATATCCATCTTCTGTTCAAGCAGTGTACATTTTAAAAAGTTTTTTATCATAATTAGCAGAAAGAGCTAGGAGCTCCAACAGTATCTCAATATTTCATCCAGCACTTGTGGGTTTTTTCTTTTCTTTTTTTTTTTTTTTTTTTTCCCCTTCCGTTTTTAAAGCCCACCCTGTGGTTAACTCTTTGGATACTGGAATCATCGGAGATCCATTGCTGGCAATGGATGCATGAGAACCTTCTGCCGAGAAAGGATTAAGAGACTGTAGAAAAGCCTAACTCACTGACCTGAAAAGACTCTGTTGACTTGCCTTTTATAATTCCATCTCATCAGATATTTTCAGCATAGCTGTTGTTTTCCTGTCTAAATCCAGAGGGGTCAACACTACAGATTCAAGAGAAAATAATACTTTATAGCCTTAAAGAAACATGTACTTGTGCAGAAAGAGAGCACGGTGCCCAGAGACGTGGTTGTGCAATAGTGTGCAGGCTTTGGTCCGCCACTGATGTCTCACTCGAGTCTTTCCAGGTGGTTCACAAGGAGAGGATCAGAAAGGGAAGTCATACGGAAACTGAGAAATGAAGAGACAGGAGAAAGGACCCCATTTCCTATCCTGAGGAGAATGTGATTTCTTGCTTGCTTTTACTGGTCTTTTAGCTGTTGTGCTTTTGCTTTATAAAATTCAGATAACCAGCATTATCCGTGTTGTTTGCCTGGGGAAACTGAAACGCAGAATCATATGTAAACCTGCTTAATTTTGGTGAGAACGTAGCCCTCTGTCCTTTAGGTGCTGTAGGACGTTGCGGGAGCGACTTGCCACCGCACCAAGTCCTCGGTAGCATGAGAGCTGGAGTTGCTTCTTGTGATTCCCAGGCAGGGGTTGCCACCAGCATCCCCTGGGGTGGTTCACAGTACAAAGAAACAGCGAGTCCTGAGTGACAGGTTTCTTTTTAACAAAAGACAACTTTGGAAGTAATCTAATTAAAAGTAAAACAGGTAAAACCTTGCTTATGGATCGGCGATCCAAATGGAGTCACGCTGTTGTGGTTCAGTACTGCAATCTGGTGGGCCTGTTGCATTCATTTGAAGAAGGAAAACTAACACCAGAGTATCTTCTGCTGGCTTATTAGCCAGATTCAGTGATTTTTTTTTTTTTGTTTTTGAAAAGTTTCTTTTTCAAAGTAACAAGCCCCACTGTGCCTTTGAATAAGGAGAGGCACATTTTCATAGACTTGATGGGATAAAGAATGTATTTTGCTCATGCAAAGCTGTGTGTAGCTGCAAACGGGAAGATAGAAAAAAGATTATCCTGGTTTAAAAAGCCACAAAAATGCCTCTTTGTGTGCACGTGTACTTGTGTACCCATGCATATACAGGGTTGTGTATACAGAAGAGTACATGTATAATGTATTTATGGGTGGGGGTGGGGGAGATGGGTGAATATACAGATTTAAAAACCTTGAAAATGTTTATGAAAAATGCCAAAGATTCTAAAGCTTATCATCTTGCGTCTGTTCTTCTTCATTTTATATCTTTCCCGGCATGTCTCTCTGGCTGAGCCAGATCTCTGCATGATTTGATTTACTTCAAGTTAATGAAGCTGGTTGGAAAGAGCTTTGTAGAAATTATAAAATCTCCAGTAAATCTCCTTCTTGTACATACAATAGATGTCCGTGGACCCCTTTTGTTAAACCAGTTTCTCAATCTTCTGTGTAAACAATGCCTCATTGTCTCGCTTTAAACTATCATCTGGTTTATCATACTGTAGTCTTGTCATTTTGTAAGGACTAAAGTCAGGCGTATTTAAGCAGACATGTGAGATCTGATCGTTGATTTGAGTGAAAACATTCAACTGCAGGAAAAATTGTTTATTTATTCAGAAGTTGGGACCGATACTTTAATAAGGTTTTTTTCTTATAGATTTTTCCACGTGGAACTGATTTCTGTTCAGGAGACACGGTGATGTGCGTCTTTTTTTTTTTTTTTTTTTTAATTTATATATGTTGTGTTTCAGAATAATTTGTATTAGATTGTTATGCTGGGGACATACCAAATGAAGGGGTTTGGATGGTCCAGTACCTATACATGTTGTAATGAGCTCTTTGTTTTGATAAGTGCTGTTTGAAACGCAATAAACATTTGAGTTTAAGATGATGCTTTTAATTTATCTGGATTAGGAGACACGTTTCCCATTCTTTGCAAAACAGCTCACTGTGCTATAATATTTCACATCTGACCAGGTAAGCAAGTACATCGCTTGACAGTGCAGTGTAACCACTAGAGCTGGAGGTTCCTTCTAACAGAGGCTGAGGTGGGAGGAGACGTAAAGCCTTGCACCGCCTGCTTACAACTCTTTACAGGATTTCCTAGCCCCTACCTAAAGGGAAGGAGGTCTCTGTGCATTTACTGCATGCTCCAGTAGTCAAACTCTTTATTCAGACTTTTCATTTGAATCTTAAAGCAAGAATAGTAGTTGGCACATATCTCTGTGTGTCCATTTGCCCGTGCAAGTTACTGGCTTTTATATTGTTAAACTATTTGGCATATAGCATGGAAATTATAAACTTGTATTTTTAATTTAAGATAGTCATTTCAGTGCAACAATATGTACATTTGCACTCTAAAGTCTCTAAGACCGGAAGGCATTCAGAAATTTAGACCTAACTATGGGTCTTTTGGATGACCATGGGTTACAGAATCATGGAGATGTCAGAATACGACTGGTTTAGCAGTGGGATGTCAGGGTTAGGTTAAAGGTTGGACTCGATGATCTTAAAGGTCTTTTCCAACCTAAATGATCCTATGATTCTGTGAAAATGTCCACTGCCTATACACGGTGTAAATAACTGGGTTTGACAGATACGTGCAAATGAAATATGTAGTCGTGTTTGCCCAAACATAAGCTGCTGCTGCAGGTTGGTTTCTTGAATAATCACAAATAGGACTGAGGACTCAGCTCCCGTATGGATCACTGTTGGTAAAACCCAGTCTCTTGAAACGCGCCTTGTGGGAAGCAAGCAAAAAACTGAGTAAAGCAAAGTCGGTGGAAATGTCACGCACCTTTTCTTTCTGCTTGCAAAGCCATGATTTTAACCTTCAGCCGTAGCTGTTCCTCCCTCCGCTTCCCCCTCAGTCCTCTCCCGAGCCACCCACAAAGTGGTGGAGAGCTCGGGCACCCACCGAGCACCCATCAGCATTGGGGAGGGAAAGTGTCCCCTAGAAATCAGACTGGCTGCTGCTAACTCACTGCCCTGGGCTAAGAGTACTAGCAACTCCCCAAATTGGGCTGTCCCACTAGAAAATAGAGACTTGCCATTTAATTTCCTGTACTCTACATGGGGCTATATTTTATTTTCTTTTTTTTAATTTGGAGGGCCTGATCCTGCAGGCATAGCCACCAATGGCACTGGAGTTATTTTCCCATCAGACTGGTAGGTTCACACCAGGAAGGAATTTGGCAGCTCTGATGTGTTAAGAAAAAATTGACAAAATACATTCTAATCAAACCTTAACCTTTAGATTCTCCATCCTTTAAACTGAGCTGATAGAGTGTTTGGGAAATGTTAGCTTCGACTTTAGAGACTATGGCATGTGTTAGAAGTGAGTCCTGCGCTGACTTAATATTGTGCGTGTATTTTATCTGTAAAGCTACATGTGCATCTACCCCTTCAAATCACACAGGGACACGATAAGGATATCTTCTCTTTAGCATCCTTAAAGTTAGCAGCTCGGGAGGAAGCTGAGATACTACAAATGATTGTTAATCTGCTGTATTGCAGGTGGAGTGTTTTAATAGGTCTCAAATTGGGGTAAATTAAGCCAGGTAAAATTCCATCATTTTGGGACAAAGCTCGACAGTTTATTACTGGGGAAGACCCTCAGCAGCCACAGTAATTATATAGCTCAAGGAACATGTGAGCAAAAGATGTGTTTATGATTAATGTAAATATTCACAAGCATTTAGAAATAATGTTGGAGTGAAAAAACAGCCTCTTGAGATTATAACATTTTTAATCTGCTTTTCTCTGTGATGCTTTGACTTAAACCAGTGCAACATTGCAAGAGAATTTAGAAGGTCATTTCATTTGGAATAAAAGACGTGGTCTTCTGACATGAATCATGAGACTGAGCATGGGGAAGCAGGAGGCGGCATTCAGGTCTTGGTGTTTGCAACAGCAGCAGCACCTGGGCGGGCATGAGTTCAAGTTCTCAGCGTGGCTTTAACCTGAGGGCTGGTGATTCTTGTTAAATTTTACGTGACAGAACATTGCCAATCAGTTCCTGCGTGTTGGATTGAACACCTGCAATATCCCTCTTGGCCAAACAGGATGATAGGCCTCTTGCAGGGGAAGAAAGTAAGAGCTGGAAGACGTGTTGGTGTAAACTTCATTTGCGCTGATGTCCTAGTGCAACCAGCCTTCTAACCTCTCGAGGACTGCCTTGCAGAAGGAAGGTAGGACAGGCTCGTAGATCAGGTACGCTGGCTTGTAGACTGCACACACGTGCATCTGGTTCTGGGTCTTCCCGGGCCAGCCATGGCCAGATTTAGTTGGTCAACAGATTGTGCCTTGCACTGTTATCTGTTGGCTGCTAGAATGGCTCCATGAGGCCATGTGCTTGCAACTAGTGCATTTAAAGAGTGGCCTTCAGCCCCTGAAGGACAGGTAAGGCACCGGGTTCAATGATCTGAGGGGCAGATGGATGGGTATGAGTCGGGAAGCTGTGCTAGGGGGGCTTCCCTGGGGATTCTGGGACCCCTTAGCTAGGCATTTCTCCTCTACACCTGATTTGTTGTGATCAAATTTCTAGCAGATGAATGAAGAATTTTTCTGCTCTTGACCTCTGCGTTTGTGATAAGTTACTTTTATGACTGGGAAAAATATTAAATGTTTACCTGTCATCTACCAACTGGAGATGATGAAGCCAGAAGACTTGGGACTTACACTTCCAAATGCACGGTCAGCCTAGATTCTCCTTCAGTCCCAAAGGCACGTGGGGATAAAGTGGTGCTGGATCCAAACTCCTTCAGGGAAGTGCAAAGTCTGCTCACCAGTATTGTTACGGTGATTTCAAAGATGCTGGCAAATATTTCAGTTGCATCCTCAATAGGGGTAAATGAATAAAAGGGGGTTTGTCTTAGTGATGCTACTCTTTAGTCCTACTGTGGGTATTTTTTTAAGGAGATCACCCAAAAAGAAGCAAACCAAAATGTATTTTTTTTATTTCTTGAGCAAATACTTGCTGCTACTTCTATCTACAGTGTGGGGAAGATCGGATTTGACTGATTCTGAGGTCCTGAGTCTGTGCATAGCAAACCCATGTACTATTCACTTGCTCAGTACCGCCACCTCCCAAAGTCGGGTAAATATCTTGTCTTCATTTTCAAGTGGAGATGCCTGGTGGAAAGAGCATATGTTCCTGCAGACAAAGAGAGTCTGTTAAGTTTCATTGGCTTGCGTGCTGAATTTTGCTTTGATCATGGCTGGCTGATTTCTCCCTCCACCTTCCGCCTGCCTGCGGTCGGCTCAATCCGCAGAATGAGTATCAGGAGAACAAGAGCAGCTACAGCCTCAGGAGAAGGGGCAGGGAGGTGGGGAAGTCTCCCTCCATCTCTGGCAATAGACGACTTTACTGAAAGTCAATGCCATTCCCTTGCATTTATCACTGCCACTCTTGCTCTGCATATTTTTGGTATTCGCCATGCATTGTTAGCAGTGATTGTCATGTAATTAAATCACTGCTCATCACAAGAGCCTATTTTTATGCTGAGATAAGCATCAGAAGTCTGCTGCAGCGTCGCCCAGATCAATAAAGATGTTCCCTGTAGGATTACAAATAGTCTGGGGTTGTACAGGGCACTAGAATTAATTAGGAATGATTTCTCTTTTTCTTTCTTCTTTCAATACATTTTTAATTGTTTATCCATTTTCGATGGGCTTGTTTTTAACTCTACCATGATGGTCCAGATGCTTCTGTTCAGACCTTTTGAGTATATGATATGATATCAATTTGGGCAATACAATTTGCTGTAGGCAGTCACTATTGTCATCGTTTTTCCATAGTCATGTGCAACTATTGCTTCAAAATGTTTCTGAAGCAGATATTTGCATCTCAGGCTTTGCACCTGGGATTACGGTTAAATGGGTTTATTAAGTGATTGAACTTGGAGATCCAAATACAGTGCATAACCTTCAGGTGCTATCCTGAAAATTTTGGGGTTTTGATTGGAAGAACAGAGGGCAAGTGGAGAAACTTGAGCCATTTACTGAGGAAGCATTTGCCCACAGTCACAGAGCAAGTCTGTGACAAAAAAAGGACTAATGCCCTGGATTACTGTGGTTTGTGCTTTCCTCTTCTCAGCTGTCCACTTTCCTTTGCCTTGTCTTCAAATTTTCTCCTACTTATATGCCTGACTGGTGGTGTTATCCTCCATGGGGCTCTGATCCAACATCAGGATCTGCTGCTCCTCCCGCCTGCTGCCCTGTCCTACCCCCAGGGAAGTCCAGGATTAGCAAAAGCTCCATGCTGGAGTCCTGCTGAGAGAAGTGTGTGCGGACCCCAGGAGCCCCCTCGAGTCCCGTTGTTTGCTGTAGAGGTAAGAGCAGGTAAAAGTTGCAATGGATCATGAATTACAGGATTATCCAAGAGAGTTCTTTAAAAAGAGGCTAACTGGAACAAAGTCAATTAAGCTGCCTGTTTGGGAGCAGGGTACACTAGAAACACTGCTGAAATTATATAGTATTGACCAGGTACGTGAATAGAGGCAGTGGGCCATCTGTGTAGGATGCTACAGTGAGATAGAAGTTTCTGGAGAGTTTCTAAAAACAGAGAGGTGGTGTCCACAAATGGATTGAGGCATAGGGAAGGTGAAGGTCTTTGCTTTCACTGCCCATCAGTCAAATGGCTGAGTGCCATGTCCTTCTCATCCAGCATCATCAAAACTAGAAATGGCT